CTGGTTTAGCTCAGTGGATAGAGTGTGGGCCTGAAAACTGAAGGGTCCTGGGTTCAATTCCGGTCAAGGGCCTATACCCCAGTTGCAGGCTTGATCACCGTCCCTGATTGGGGAACATGCAGGGGGCAACCAATTTATGTGTCTCTCTCACATCAATGTTTCTCTTTCTCTCTCTTTCTCTGTCTCTCTCTCTTTCTCTCTGTCTCTCCATCCTCCTTTCCACTCTCTAAATATCAATGGAAAGGTGTCCTCAGGTGAGGATTAACTAAAAAATAAAAAGTGCTATCATAAAAAAAAACTAGATAGATAACAAAATATAACAATTAAAACAAAATTTAGAACCATTATTAGATGAAAATAAACCTCTGCTAATGAAGACACCATTAATCTGACAAAGGATATATATATACACAATATATATATATAAAATTCTCTCAGATATAAGACAAACAACCTAATTTTTAAATGTGGAAATGACCTGAAGAAACATTTTGCAAAAGAAGGTACAGAGATGACCAACAAATACTTCAAAAGTGCTCATTAGGGAAATGCAAAATAGAACCATAATAAAGTACTATTACACACTCACAAAATTACCAAGCATTGCCCTGCTGGTATGGCTCAGTGGTTGAGCATCGACCTATGAACCAGGAGTTCACAGTTTGACTCCTGATCGGGGCACATGCCCAGGTTGCAGGCTCCATCCCCAGTAGGGGGCTTGCAGGAGGCAGCCAATCAATGGTTCTCATTGTTTATATCTCTCTCCCTCTCTGAAATCAATAAAAATGTATTTTTTAATTACCAAGCAATGGCAAAGAAGTTGGAGAAGCTGAAACCTGCACTGCTGCTACTGGTAGAACCACTTTGGAAAAACAATTCAGCACTTTCTTATGAAGTTAAATATGTACTTATATTCCTAAGTATTTAACCAAAAGAAAAGAAAGCATAAGTTCACAGAAAGGCTTCCACATGAATGTTCACAGCAGCATTATTTGTAAGGGCCCCAACTGGAAACCATCCAAGTGCATCAAATTGTAAATGGGAAGATATGTGGCATATCTGCACAATGGACGACTACTTAGCAATAAAAACTAACAAGTTACTGATACATGATGCATGGTGAGTCTCAAACACACCATGCTAAGTGAGGGGTCAGCAATTTTTTTTCTGTAATGAGCCAGATAGTTAATATTTTAGGCTTTACAGGCCCTATTATGATGGCCACAACTACTCGACTCTGCTACTATAGTGCAAAACAGACCTAGAAAATAAATAAATAAATGAGTATGGCTATTTATTTATAGATAGTGAAGTCTAAATTTCACATAATTTTCACATCAGAAAACATTCTTTTTGTGATTTTTCTTCAACCATTTAAAAGTATAAAAACCATCCTTAGCTTGTGAGTACTACAAATACAGGCAATACACACACAAGAAAAGGCCATTATTTACTGACCCTTATGTTAAGTAAAAGTCCACACAAAAGACTACATCATGTATGATTTCATTATAAACCAAGAAACACGTGTCCCTTCTTACCTTTTCTCCTTTGTTCCTTTATGATTAAACTCGAGGCATGGTGCACAAAATTCAGGCACTGGGGAGAGGGGGGTTTCTCGGCTTGGCCTGCGCCCTCTCCAAGTCCGGGAGCCCTCAGGGGATGTTGGGCCTAAGTTGGCAGTCAGACATCCTTCTGGCTGAGCGGGGCTCTCCCTGTGGGAGCTCACTGACCATCAGGGGGCAGCTCCTGCATTGAGCGTCTGCCCTTGGTGGTCAGTGTGCCTCATAGTGACCAGTTATTCTGTCCTTCGGTTGATTTGCACATTAGCCTTTTATTATATAGGATGAGTCAAAGTGAAAGAGCCAGACACATGATAGTATTAAATAAGCATTGTTCTTTTACCTATGTTCCTATATGCAACCTTTCCCTTCCATCATTCTTTTTTTTTTTAATATATTTTATTGATTTTTTACAGAGAGGAAGGAAGAGAGATAGTCAGAAACATCGAAGAGAGAGAAACATCGATCAACTACCTCCTGCACATCTCCCACCGGGGATGTGCCCGCAACCCAGGTACATGCCCTTGACCGGAATCGAACCTGGGACCTTTCAGTCTGCAGGCCGACGCTCTATCCACTGAGCCAAACCGGTTTCGGCCCTTCGATCATTCTTGATAGTCTACCCATACCACCCAGACGGGTTAGTACATTTCTCTAAAGCATCAAAATTAACAGTCTGAAAGGTAACAAATAGAATATAAATGGACTGACTCAAAAAGTCTACAAAGACACAAACCAAACATTACAGTGGTAGTAAGTAGGACTTTTATTTTTTAAACACTACTGAATTATTTTAACTTTTAAAAACCTGTAATTTTTTTTTAATGTAAGGCCTGTATTCCTAGGGGCATAGTGGACCTATTACTTGAAAAGTAACTGTTCTATATTTAACGCATTGTGAAAAAATTACTGAGATAAGAAGTGTGAGGACTAAAAAATAATAATTTTCTTCCCACCTAGCTGGGCTAAAAATCAAATTAACAGAGACAGACTGACAGGTGAAACTGTCCAAAGCCTATTATACATATACACATTTGAAGGTCCATAATAATATGAAAACCCCAAAGAGGCACTGGGCAATTCAAGCTTACATGCCATCATGGAAAAAGAAGAAAAGGGTGGGGGGCAGGGATTTTGAAGGGGAATCAAGCAAACAAATACCTGCCAAGTAACCCAGAAACATGGAACGGGTCTAGCTTGGATCTTTCCTATCCACCATACTTAATTCAAATTAGGCTAAGGTGAAAATCCTTAAGGTAAACTTGCTAAGATTCCCCTCCTGAAGCAAGCCTTTCCATCCAAATTACCTTAGACAAGAAAGGCGGAGGTTCAAGATTCTTTCTGAGTCATTGTTTTTTAATAACCAACTTAAAATCTATATTCCAAAAGGCTCATCTTAAGATGGCAAAACTTTGGTCCTCTTTAAAAGGTTGCCCTAAACCACAACGTCTGCTCGTCGTACCTGTTTGCAAGTTTGTGTGCACCACATGTATTTCCACTCAATTATGAAAACATGCTATTTTTCTTGTACTTACCTCAGTGCTTGAAGCAACTAAGGAAAATTCACGAGAGAGATCCAGCTTAATGCTTTCAACATTTATTTCCGAAGGCCTTGCAATTGGGTCAGCACTAAAAACATAAGATGGTCTAGGCACCCCATCCTTATTTACATTAGATTCCATTCTGCAAGAATAACAACTTCTTTAGGCATCTGAAATAAAGCACCATTTAAGAATATGGAGTTTAAAAAGTCTGAGTCCAGCCCATACTTCCCCCATATAACTACATTTCCAGAGAAGGAAAACATTAAACGCTTCATCTATAACAGGGGTGGGGATCGTCCAGCCTGCAGGCCATACAAGGCCCCTAAAATCATTTGGTCTGGCTCTGCCAAGGTACTAGGGGTGAGTTAAGTGTTTGACCAAATAGAGCAGGCTTATTTTTAAGCTGATAATTTTGGATGGCCCCCCAATGATGTTGTAAATATCCAAATGGCCTTTGGCAGAAAAAAGGTTTCCCACCCCTGCTCTATAACATGAAGACCCATGGAAAAGACAAAAAAACAAATTACTTACAGATTCTGAATCAAATACAACAGTCTTCAACTATTATTCATATGATCCACCTATGGACAAATTCATCCAAGGAGATTTCATTAGTAAAGGTCAGACAATATAAAACATTTCTATTTCTGCCTGAAATCCTCTCAGAAATCAAATAGTAAAGGTGGCGTAAATTAGAACCTTGAGTTATTTTAGTTATTTAGTGTCTTCTAAAGAATGTTACTTACAGACTTTGTAACGTTTTGGCATTTAGGCGTTCAACTTAGTTACCTGGACAATTCGTTTCAACTGAATTCTTCCAAAAAATGCAAACGAAAATGGAAATAAAGTATGTGGAAATAAAGTATGTGGACATAATTCAAAACAGTACCGGACACATCAGTCAATGCATCATTCCAAGCGTCAGTAAACTATTACAACTAAATGAAACATCAAGTCACTAATATAATCGGGGATAACCTTAACTGAAAAAAATATTAACATTCAAGCATTTACCAAGAATCTACTGGGTGCATAATACCAGAGTAAAAAGAGAGCTCCCTGCTGTTCTTTTGACAACATTATGAAATATCCAGGTCAGGGATTCCCAAACTGTGGTTCCGGCTCAGGAGAACAGTCCTGGGCACCCAGAGGTGATATATCAATGAATCAAATATGGTCCCTGCCCACTGATCCATATAGCAGGCCAGGCACGTTAGTGCAAAAACCCAATGAGGTGCCAAACTCAAAATTTCTACCCAGACCCGGAATCCAACTGCGACCTCCAGGCTCACAGGTCGACGCTCAACTACGCCACCGGGGGCGCTGCCTCGTTTTATAAACAAAAACAAACCTGAATGTGATCACCTTACGCAAGGGTAACTTCAGGCCAGGAACTCCGTTCACTAGTCCTTCGGCAAGGAATATTATTAGAGAATTACGACAGGCAGGAATCTCGGGGGCAGGAGGTGGAATGTGATGGGGGAAACCGAAACTTTCTAGCCTGGCGGATGACAGGCAGCAGTCACTGCAACTCGCCGCACACACCCCCTTCCGCTCGGCACCGCAAAGCCCAAAAGGACAAGCCCCAGGCACCGCCTGAAAACAAGTGCAGAGGGGACCGCGACAGGGCCCCCCTGCCCCCCGCCCAAGAGGGCACGTCCCATGCCACGCAAAGTGCTCACCTCGCTGATCCAGGAAAAGGGGTTTGACAATAGAGGCCCACGCCTCGACAACAGCGGCAACAATGAAAATATTAATGCCTGCAAACACTTGGTGCCTACTGTATACCGGCCCTGTTTCTAACAACTTCACCTATGTCACGTTACCTTCACAAGAACCTGAAGGGTGGGTCCTATTATTACTACCCCCACTTAGCAAGTAAGGAGGCGGAGGCCCAGAAAGATTAAATACGTTCCCCTGCGTCATTCAGCTAACAAGGGCGGGGGGAGGGGGGGACGAAATTTAAACCCTGATACTCAGGCGCAACCCTCCATCGCGCACCCAGTTCCCGAGCGTCCGCTCAGGGGCGTACCGAGCCTCCTACGCGGGTGCTCAGATCGCCAGAGCCGTTCCTCCGCCTCGGGCCTGGCGTGTGCGCGGGCGCCCCGCTCCTTCTTCGCACCCTCACCTGGGCCAGCGCCTCACCGGCGAGGAAGAGCGAGCACCACGGCGAAGCGTCTTTTCAAATTCAAACGATGGCGGCCAGGGCACCGCACTGAATGCTGGGAGTGAGCGGGGCTCTTAATGACGCCGGGACGCGCCGCAGTCTCGCGGATTAGGCTTCCCACCCGCCCCCGGAAGGCGCTTTCAAATCTGGGGGCGGGCCTCCGAACGCCGGGCGACGAATGAGCGGAGGAGCTGGTAGGGGGCCGGCCAGCGGAGGGCGGAGCTTCCCGCGGGGCTGGGCGCGCCGTGCGGGCGCGGGGCTGGGATACGGCCCTGGAGACACTGAAGACCTGGCCGGGGCCGGAGGTGAGGCCGCTGCCGCTGGACAGCCTCGTGACTCCCCTAAGACGGGCCCAGGAATGGCGGGGGTCCTAGTGCAGCAGAACGGGACCCGCGCCTCGAGAGGCGCTTATGAGGAGCGCCGCCCGCACCCCGAGGGTCACGTCTCTCGGTGCAGGACCCTACCTGTCGTCTAGAGCGCCCTAAAATGAACGAAATAAAATTTTCCCAGAAAAGGTGTCTAAAAGCATTTTCTCTTTACTTTCTATTTAAAATATAAAGAGCCACCGCCGTGAGGCGCTGTACGGTGACAATCTGAGTTCCATGCACAGGCAAGGTGTAGCAGAGCCCAGAATTAAGTGCCAGGACATCCTTCTCTGCTTCCTTTAAAGGGATCCTCTTCTTCTGGGTGTGGTGTTACTACAGCCATATGACAAGGATTTACTACTTAGGTCGTCTCCCCCTGCTTGCTGTACTTCCATTTCAAAGAAAAACAGCTGCTAACGTTAACTGAACGTTCATTTACCTTGTGCCAGTCGTGGTGCTAGGCTTATAAAACGCATTGTCTTACTAATGCTGAGAACAACCCTTTGAGGTAGGTACTGATAGATTGAGAGGAAACTGAGGTCCTATGGTTAAGTCATGTGCTCAAAGGTATAAGAGTATTACCGGTGGAGCTGGGATTTAAAATCAGCTGATTGACTTTAAGACTCACTCTCCTACATGTGGTCTTATTTTCGATTATTTTACTTGGTTAGTGGCATTTTTAGAATAGGTAGCTTAATGAACTTACTGTCTTCCTTTCCTTGTCATTCTACTGGTGACCTGGTGCATGGATTAGTGCACAATGAAAGGAAATTAATTAGAAGATGGCCCGTGGGGCGGAAGTGGGCGAGAGGGACAAAGCCAACCTCCCCCTCTCCCCATCCCTCCCCGGCCCAGCCAGCCGCACCTGGGGTGACACCATGACTCAAAGAGCATCTGTGGAGTGAGTGGGGTCCCTCTGGCAGGTGGGGTCCTTCGGCCTGGCCTGCGGGGATTGGGCTGAAACTGGCTTTCCGACATCCCCCAAGGGGGTCCTGGAGTGCGAGAGAGCACTCTGCAAAGTTGCTGTCATACAGGGTGTGGAATGCAAATGCAAGTGTGCAGTAAACAAGATTCGGGCCAGCAACAACATAACCCACAGCCAAAGGTGGAATCACGGGGGCCCTGCAAGGAATCAGGCTCCCTCCTATCTGGGTGCATCACCTGAGAATCACTGCTGCCAAGTCACTGCATCTCAGCAGCTCCTGCATTGAGCATCTGCCCCTCGTGGTCAGTGTGTGTCATAGCAATTGATCAGATGGTGGGAGGGACACTTAGCATATTAGCCTTTTATATATACAGTAGGTCCTCAGGTTATGTTGGAAATCCGTTCCTATGGTGTGATATAACGCAATTTTTGCTCTAAGTTAGAACCCACTTACATAAGCACCTACGGCATTCACATGGAGCACATACACAGCAGTAATGAAATGAAACAGTAAAAAAAATGTTAAAAAAAGATAACAATTCCTGACCTTTACTTGTGGTAAATAAGTAATAAAAAAACATAAAGCACATATGTACATACGTCGAAATGATGGAACTTTATTTTTATAAATAAATGAGATATGGTGACGTAACCACGAAACAACGTATGTCAAGTCCGACATAACCCAAGGACTGCCTGTATAGATATTTATATCTCCCATAATCTACCTCTCACTACCCCTCACTAACTTACCATTGTCTCCTCACTCAGTTTGCCTTCTTCCCCCACAAAATAATTATATTTGGGTTGAACCAGTTTGGAGTAAAGAAGAGGATGCAGGGCCAGGAGTAAAAATGAACAAAAGAAAGTAGCTGTAAAAGGGAAGAAAGCAGAAAATAGGAAAAAGTTGGCCTGAATCTTGTTTACTGCACACTTGCATTTGCATTCCACACCCTGTATGACAACACTTTGCAGAGTGCCCTCTCGCACTCTGGGACCCCTCGGGGGATGTCTGAGAGCCAGTTTCAGCCCAATCCCCACAGGTCAGGCCGAAGGACCCCACCTGCCAGAGGGACCCTAACCCGGCTCACTCCACAGATGCCCTTTTCCTATTTAGGCTGGAACTCAAGTCTTCAGTGGGCTCAATGTCAGTCTCCATTGTTTCTCAGGCAAGTCTACCCTTAAATCCACACTTCCTTTCATACCTCATATAATGCCTTTATTGCTTTTACTAGCTGTTAACTAATTCCCAGATCTCTAACCCTCCAGATCCTACATTTATTTATCATTTGAAATATTTATTGAAAACCTCCTATAAAACACGAGGGTAGGAGTTAGGGAAACAGTGGAGGAAAGTGAGAAAAACAGACACTACCCTCAAGGAGCTTATATTCTAATGGGAGAGGTAATCAAGTTAAAAAAAAATACAAATAACTGCCCATCTGGTGTTGCTAGTGGTTGAGCATCAACCTATGAACCAGGAGGTCACGGTTCAATTCCAGTCAGGGCACAGGCCCGGGTTTCAGGCACGACCCCCAGTGTGAAGTGTGCAGGAGGCAGCAGATCAATAACTCTCTAATCATTGATGTTTCTATGTCTTCCTCTCTTTTCCTCTCTGAAATCAATAAAAAGTATTTTTTAAGTGCATTGCATTTTTTGATAGTTGTCTAACGCAGGTAGAGGCATGGTCATCCCCACTGCCCATTCTAATTTAATTCAGAATATCACAACACTGGCCAAAATACCCTGGTTCTAAAGCAACACCTTACCATTAATAGAAATATGTATAAGAAAAAACAAGTGTTAGGCAGGTTTTTATGTGCTTTGACTAATTATTCAAGGGGGCTTCCCCAAAACCAATCATTTGAATTGTCCCTTTGACGGTCAGTCAGGAGATTTCACGCCTTAGGACAGTGCACCATAGAAGATTCCAGATAAGTGAGGGTATGCCTTTCTTTTAGAAAGTAAGCGAATGGACTATAATGAAGGGAGAGGTGGGAGCACAGAATGTTTGCTCAAGGCAAAGGAAAACATATGTTGAAGTAACGGGGCTGGGGGAATAAGTAAGGCTACGTAGACAAATGGATGGGTGGATTCCTGGTCTGACACTTTAGAAGTTTAGGACATTGGGCAAGGTCAA